TCTGACAGTCATCAGGGCTGGTGAAAAGACTCCTTGGAGTCTGCCCGTTGTGCACAATGTTCAAAGTTGCTTTCCAGGTACCCCTTTCACCGCTACGCCACCAATTTTATTTTATTTTTTTTTATTTTTTTTTTTTTTGTGCTACGCCACCAATTTTATCATACGCCACCAACCTCATCATACGCCACCAATTTCAACACACGCCACCAAAAGCGCCACCAAATTTAGAGTACATAGATTCAAGTACTTGTACAGTGAAGAACGCTACTCTTCATCAACAGTAAGGTCTATTGGCCCAATGGAAAGGCGTCTGACTACGAATCAGGAGATTGCAGGTTCGACCCCTGCATAGATCATTATTTTTTCGTGTTACGACACGTGGGCACTATTGCCTTTTTGGTCATTTTTAAAGTTTCACCTCACGTCGCGTTCTTTGGTACATGTCCCACAACAAGGTCAAGCCACGAGCAATGTCGGTGGTGATGGCAGGCAGCCAGAGCATGAAATACTCTGGAAGGAGAGAAACGCGACTTTTTTTTTCTTTTTTTTTTTTTTTTTGAACGAAGGGATTCGATGATGGCTCTCACTCGCTGGCTTTTCTAGTTTGCAATGCAAATTAAAACGCGTCACACGCATGCCATGTAGGCGGGGAGAGAGGAGCGGAAGGGGTTAGGATATGCGGATCAGGGATGTCAAAGTCCTTGATCATGAATATGGTTCTTGGTATCTTGTACTGGTAATGCCTTTTCTTTTTTTCTTTTTTTTGTCTCTCTTGCAATCGCTGCTAATGCTGATCAGAGGTCTGCACGTATGTCTTTCTGCTGCCTCTTCCCTCTCCTTGGCCCTAAGGCGCCAGAGAAAACGAATCCAGTTCAGAAGAGAGGAAAAAAAAAAAAAAAAAAAAAAAAAAACTTGGCCTTCGTTTCCCGCTGAACACTCCGTAGCGCATCCGACTGGTCATACGCGTCCACAGTCGTTGATGTATAGTACAGTGCAGGACATGGGGTTCAGAGATAGAGGGGCACGCGAGAAGAAGAAGAAGAGAGGGTGGGTTGAGGCAAAGAGAAGCTGTACTGCACTGGAGTACGGTTGTGCTGCATCATGGGCCAGTGCCAACGGCAAAACAATTGCTCTCGCTCGCCATGACGCCTGTTCCGCCTGCTAGATCTGGCTTGTGGACGATCGAGCGCATTTTTTTTCTTTCTATTCTTTTTTCTTGACGTGCGACAGGCTACAAGAATAAGCGTGTCGCTCATCTCTTTCACCTCCGGTTCCCTTGCGCCCTACTCCCACTCTCATTCCCATCCCCTTCCCACTGTCCCATTCACCACCACTCGATACTCAGGCAACACACCCTGCATTCCCTTGCTCATCCTTTTGCTCTATCTCTTCCTTTCTTGCCCTTTGCACTCGTCTATCCATTCCCACATTATCATTCATATATTCATTCATTCATTCATTCATTCATTCATTCATTCATTCATTCATTCATTCATTCATTCATTCATTCATTCATTC